TATATAGCTCAGTGGGCCTTACCTGGTAAAAAATAAGTTTAGTAAAAAAAAATGTTTGGTAAAAAAAGTTTTGGTTTTAACCACTGCGCCACCGCTCCCGTGACAATATTTCATTACCAGTAATACCCCAATATACTTCGTCCCCGTTTTACGTCGTTTCGCAAATCCGTCGTCACTTTACTACTAACACTGCTACCAAGACTAGCATCGCCCCCCCGCGATCCACACACTCTGAACGTCGCTGACAGCATCGTCGTCATTCCAGCCTTCACCGCTGCCTACGACTGCTACTACCCTGATAAACCGCTTCGATTTACATCGTTTCGATATTCGTCGTCGTGAACCGGGAGGGAGGGTGTTTGTTGATTAACGCGACAGCGTGGATAATCTAACGATGTTACAGACAGAACACACGAACATCCCCTTTCGTCCGTACCGCCATTTGACTCTGAGCATCTCGCACATTTTCCTTTACGTGGTTATCAACGGAACCAAAAATCAAAACTTACGCCAGCCGTATTGCGTATTAATGACATCGAGCATAACCAATGGACGAATTCCCTTCATGTTAATCACGATCCTTCTGTTCACGTTATCTGATTACGTGCCAATTACACGAGTTGAACGAGATTTGATTGTATCCTGAATTACATTTACGCCGAAGATTCTAATAAAAAACCTCAGCACAGCGAACATCTGTGTCGCCCCTACTTGTCGTGACTGGTTACAGTGGTGCAGTGAGGGGTGCAAGTGATGAGCATGATGCGTGTGTGAGACAGCGTGTGTGCATGTGTAATGAGCACGCGTGTGTAATAATGCGTGTGTGTGTAATGTTTGTAATGATGGGTGTGTAGTGTCAGTGATTCAGACAAGGTTTTTAGGAGGCACCTTCTTTATTCGAACATTCACGGTCTCGTCTAGACACTCTACAGTTGCTTAGCCTCGCCTGTACACAATACGAGCCATCTCACACTGACGACGCTGACTGAGACAGGCCAACAACTCTCTGTCAGCGCAATATCGAGTAAAAACGGCAGCGACGACGGCGACGAGACGACAGCGACGACGAGATGATCCAATCCCAGAACCGGCAACCTCGAACTCCCGCTCTCGGCTCCTTTTATCTTACCAACGCGGCCTGGCTCCGCCCTGGCTGCGCCTCCCTTCTCGAACCCACTAGCAGGTTCCAGGGGCCTCCAACGGTGTCCTCCACGACCCTTGCCCTAGTTCCTCCGCCCTGCTAACACACCGTGCACGCCCTCACCGGCTGGTGTGTACTGTCTGTACACCACAGTTGCTGCTGTCCACCAGCTTACGCTATTACACTACATCACCCCCCCCCCCACCTTGTTTAAAAAACCAGCCGTCCCGGCTGACACACAGCAACGCAACTGGGTGGACAGGCAGAGCAATCCCATGACCGAGGAACATCAAAACCCCCCAAAAAATACAACCAAAAAATATATAGTCACGACAGTCCCCGTGAACCGACAAGCAGAACGACCGATCCACCCGGGGACTACTTGGCACGCGGCGCATGCAACAACCGCCGACCAACAACACCCAACACACAACACTATACGACCCATTACCCTTACCACGCCATTTTCCTCAAATCACACAGCACAAGGGAGAGTCCACATTACCGGAACGTAGCTCACATGAACCGGGTCCTTGACGTCGGTCCCCCACCTTGGGCAGGATCTTGCACTTCTTGGGGCTCTGGGGGAAATACAAATGGCCTCAAGGGCACGGCCACTCCCTGGATTCATCAGCAGAACTTGACCGGGCTGCAGCCTCTGATCCCTCGCAAGAGGCGACCTCAGAGGCTCGGATCCTTAGGGGCTTGGGGAGCAGTTGCCGGCAGGGTGGAGGGCGTCGGCGGTGCCGCCAACATCCCGCTGGCACTCCGGCACTCTCTTGCGACGTGGCCCGGCCGACCACACCTGAAGCAGGTGGCCGTGGGTCTCAAGGGCGGAAGGGGCTCCTCCTCTCGCCGACTTCAATCAGGCGGCCTTCTCCTGAAGCTTGTCCCGCGCGGCCTTCGGCCGTACAACGCAACCGCCAACTCCACTCCCGTCACGTGGGCCCCTGTGCCCCTTCGGCGTCCCCCGTCCAAGCCGCCACCTTGGGCCATTGCTGCATGTTCTCGTGGGCCTGAGTCCACCGTCCTCGTGGGGAACTCGCAAGGACGGGATGAAGTCTCATGTGCCAGAGTCACCTGGGTCACCATCATTGCGATAACAGAGCACAACGGGATAACATGACACAAAGAGATAACATGACACCAAGGGATAACACTGCACAAAGGGATAACATAACACAACGGGATAACATGACACAAAGAGATAACACAAAGGGATAACACAAAAGGATAACACTGCACAAAGGGATAACATGACACAGGAATAACATGACACAAAGAGATAACACAAAGGGATAACAACATAAATGGATAACACTGCACAAAGGGATAACATGAAACAAAGGGATAACAAAACACAACGGAATAACATAACACAAAGCACAACTATGCGGAAAAGTTAAATCAGAGCGACAGAAAGGAATAGATAGTCGTTTGTACACTGTTCAATTGATCCACATTTAGAATTACTGCCAACGTTCACTTAACACGTACCGTCAATATCTGTAAGATAAATATCTAAATATTTAAAATTCAATGTCTATGGTATGTCTCCATAAAGCCAACAATATAAGCGAAATGTATATAAGATGAAAAGAATTTCAGTGATTTATTTTGGCAATATAAGGTTATGTCTGTTACTAAATAACGTGCCAGAACGTTTATCTTTAAACGCCGAACATGACATTTCCATCAGGGCCACGTGCTGTGTAAAGTGCAGTCTCCAGCTATTAATCGGTCTCTCTCTCGGCCCTTTGGATCTTCCCACTATGAAGCAGGACCATTGCCTGAAACGTCGCCCGTTATGTTATTTCCCTCTTTGGGGGCCAGCGTTATTGACCATTTTTTTTCTAACCTCTAAGTGCCCTTGGCAAACTCGAGTCGGTGGTAACTCGCCGCTCGCATTATTATTCCACCGTCTAGGCGGTGTCCACAAGTGGGCAGCGTGCTCGTACAGTGCCGTACGGTCACATATTTCATGCTTGCTGGAGCCGAGCGACACCTGTGAAAACAATTCGGCCGCACTTTTAAATTGAGACCGCATGCTGCTGCTGCTGCAGCTGCTACAGGCCACGTGTTGCTACGTAGCCGGGTGGTGGCGGTGGTTACCGCTGCAACACGTGACTGCCGCCCTGTGACCCAGCACTGTGCAGACAGTAACGAGGGGTTGTTGGATCACCGCAAAAATGTTGTGAAACTCCCTTGGTCAACACTTGCTGCAGTAACAGCTGCAGTAACAGCTGCAGTAACAGCTGCAGTAACAGCAAGTGTGGACCAATCGCTATTCGCCGCTGTCTGTGTGGGGATAGAGTGGTGTCCCTTTGCACGTGCGTGGGATTTCCTCCCACTTGCATGATAACCGCATACCTGTCAACCCCTTGTCAGTGCCCTACCTGATTACAGACCAATTCAGACCTCATCGGTCACCCCGGGCCGTTATAATTCTCAACGTTCATCCTACAAAGTCCTATCACAAGGGAGAAACACAAACAAATACAAAATTATGTCGCTAAACAAAAACTGATCATTGGTGTCAATGATGCTACTTATCGTGCTACTGTCTGTGATCTTGCATGCTGATGCTGCTGCTTGTTTGATAGGTGGATTCACGCACTCGGCCGTGTGGCGGTTGTACGCCGTCTGGACCTGAACACTCAATTGTCCTGCACGAGAATGCGAGTAAGCCGTATGGGTTGACAGGTATGTGAAAGCTCATCATCAATTGGATGTAATTATCTTAAATAGAAAAAAATCAATGCAAGATCCACCTTTGTCTCCCCGCAGTGCTGATGTTGGCACAACGTCAACAAACCACCGTCGTTCGCCCCTCGAGGAGGCGGCGACGGCACCACGGCGCTCGTGCCACCCTCGGTGCACTCCGGGGTCGCGTTGAGGTGTCGCGGGCTCCGCTGGCAGGAGGATCACGGAGCAGACCCCGCGTGGTGCCGGGGGCCGGCTGCTACGTGGGGTGTGATGGCAGACGCGCCCAGCTGTGGGCTATTCATTTAGATTCTATTATTTGGCTGCTACACATTTACACATTATACGCCCACTTTGTTGAGCGATCATTTGCGACCCCCCCCCACTGCGCCAACTCGCTGCACTTTATCGGCCCGGCGCTCCGCTTCGTTGTTGTGAGTGTCGCTCCGATGTCCTCTCAGTTGTTTCTGGAGGGCGATCTGGCCCGCAGCGTCTAACGCGCGAATTCTAACACACAGAGTCTAACACGCGGAGTCTAACACACAGAGTCTAACACGCGGAGTCTAACACACAGAGTCTAACACGCGGAGGAGTCTAACACGCGGAGGAGTCTAACACGCGGATGAGTCTAACACACGGAGTCTAACACACAGAGTCTAACACGCATGGTCTAACACACAGAGTCTAACACACGGAGTCTAACACACAGAGTCTAACACGCAGAGTCTAACACACAGAGTCTAACACGCAGAGTCTAACACGCGGAGTCTAACACACAGAGTCTAACACACAGAGTCTAACACGCGGAGTCTAACACACGGAGTCTAACACGCGGAGTCTAACACGCGGAGGAGTCTAACACACAGAGTCTAACACACAGAGTCTAACACGCAAAGTCTAACACACGGAGTCTAACACGCGGAGTCTAACACGCGGAGGAGTCTAACACACAGAGTCTAACACGACCGGCGGACACCGGGTCCCGGTCACGGCAGTGAATCCGCTGAAGGCGGCCGAGCGGCGGAGCGTCCCCACGGCCGCAGAGGCGGCAGAGGGGGGCGCTGCGCAGCCCGCGCGGCTCCCGGGGACCCGCGGAGGGGGGGCGAGGGGGGGGGTAGCCGAGCCGACAAAACCACCTCGCCTCCTTGCGGGCCACTCGCACACACTGCCGCTGCTGCTACCGCTGCTACCGCTGCTGCTGCTGCTGGTGTTGCTGGTGGTACTGGTGGTCTCGCTACTGGTGGTGGTGGTAGTGCTGGTGGTGGTGGTACTGGTGTTAGTGCTGGTGGTGGTAGTTTTGGTGGTGGTGGTTGCTGGTGGTGGTACTGTTTGGTGGTGGTTGCTGGTGGTGGTACTGGTGGTGGTGGTCTCGCTACTGGTTGTGGTAGTGCTGGTGGTGGTGGTGGTTGCTGGTGGTGGTACTGGTTGGTGGTGGTTGCTGGTGGTGGTACTGGTGGTGGTGGTAGTGCTGGTGGTGGTGGTTGCTGGCTCCCTTCTCCTGCGCTGCTTCGTGCTCTTGGAGGAACGTCCCAAATCGTCAACCACACGGAGGTCGCGGCAGCAGCAGCAGTGGCGATGTCCTCCCGCGTGTGGCTCCATCGCCTCCTGGCGGCAGCGCTCCTCGGAGCCGTGGGTGAGGAGGAGGCACCACGACACTCACCACACTGACACTCGCCACCACGTGACACTCACCACCACGTGACACTCACCACCACGTGACACTCACCACACTGACACTCGCCACGAGAGACACTCGCCACGAGAGACACTTACCACGTGACACACACCACCACGTGACACGCACCACCACGTGACACTCACCACCACGTGACACTCACCACGCGACACTCACCACCACGTGACACTCACCACCACGTGACACTCACCACGACACTCACCACGTGACACTCACCACCACGACACTCACCACCACGTGACACTCACCACGTGACACTCACCACGACACTCACCACACTGACACTCGCCACGACACTGACCACGTGACACTCACCACGTGACGCTCACCACCACGACACTCACCACTCACCACAACGTGACACTCACCACCACGTGACACTCACCACGTGACACTCACCATCACGACACTCACCACGTGACACTCACCACACGACACTCACCACGTGACACTCACGACACAAGGGGGTGCTGGGGGTGTCCCCGTGGCTTTTTACAAAGGGAGCGGTGGCGCAGCGGTTAGCGCGCTGCGGAACCCAGGCCACCCGAGTTCGAGTCCTGCTCCACGTGGCCACCGGTCAACAGAAGTGACGATAGTCTGATTCGGTCCTGCTCCCCCTCTTAGGTCGACTCAGCCTTAAATTAGTACCCCGATGCCGCGTGTAGCAAACATCGCCACCGGGGCGGAAGACAAAGGCGGCCGGGCGTGGCCGCTTCAGGGGATCCATTCGGACGTGGGAGAAGGGAGGATCGATTCGTTTAACCCACAGCGTGAACACGAATGGGTGCCACTCAAATCTCACCGCATCACTCGAAGAGACGTTCCTGTGGATCGGTTTCGTCGTTATTAAGACTCATCAGTCACCGTTGCAGTCACCACCACCGCTATACTCGCCACGTGATACTCGCCACTAAACACTCACCGCATAACACGTGCCACTCACCGTGAAACACTCCACGCCGGTTCTTGTCGTTATTAGGACTCATCGGTACCAGCGGGAGGCACCGATGCTGAGCAAAAGTTCCGTTTACTCGAGTAGATTGGGGGTCGCAAATTCGATTCGGTCCATTAATGACGGCATTCCTCGTTCATACGAACCAGGTGATTTACTGCTCCTGCTGCTGCTGTGTTGACACAATTCACAGACAAATTCAAACACCCTCCGTGTTATTAACAACTCTTGCGTGGCTTTTAAAAGAAAACGAATGGTAATCGTGTAACACGTTGTCGGCTTTCGCGAGCTATCTCATCCACGGCAGAAGTCTTGTCGTGGTTTGATCGCCGGTGCGCTGCACGAGTAACGACTACTCGTAATTACTACTTCGAGTCGTAGTTGCTAGTTTTGTTTGAGTGACTCACCTCACTAAGCGGCTGTGTCGGGTAGTAGAAGGTTTAACGGCACATTTATGTTTACGTGATCTAACCCAACAACAACAACATAAACCTCGATGAAAAATATAAGTCGACGTTTCGGGCACTGGCCCCTTAATAGCGCATTGTTTTTCCTCGTTTAAAAACGCCATCCCACACAAGACTAGGGACGATCCTTGCATGTCTGTCATATGTCTAACTCGAGTACATGTGGTGGGGTTTCACTCCCGCACGTGTGTTGAGGACGAAGTGAGCGCGCCGAGTTCGAGTCCCGCTCACGGCCACCAACACCAGTGATGAATATCTGAACCGGTCCTGGGCCTCCCCCTAGGTCGACTCAGCCTCAAATGAGTACCTGGTGTGGTGTAAACATCGCCACTGGAGAGACAAAGGCAGCCGGGAGTGGTGCTGGCCACCCACCCCCTCGTGTGCCGTGCCGGCCTTCATAGGTGCTGCTCGCTAACAGCACTTGTCCCAACAGTCTGTTAAGGATTTTCAGGGATTTTTTTTTAGTGTATGTATATATATACCTAGAGTTTTATATATAGGATAGAGTCATACAAGTACATATAAACGTGTAGTACGTACAGTATTGTGTTACACGCGTCACGAGCGAGCAGCTGGATTTACTGTGGCACCCTCGCCTATGATCAGGAGCTTCGGGTAAAGACCTAAAAGTTGAGATCACGGCTACAAGACGCCGAAATTGAGTTTTTCCGCAGGGTGATCGGGTGAGGGGCTCGGTAATCCCGGGGGAGCCTCAGGGTCGAGCCGCTGCTCCTCCGGATCGAGAGGAGCCAGTTGAGGTGGTTCGGGCACCCGGTCACGATGCCCCCCGGTAGACTCCCCCTGGAACTCTACCGGGCAGCAGCAACGTCCCACTGGGCAAAGACCCTGGCCCGGGACACGCAGGTGGGATTGTGTAGCTTGCCTGGCTTGGGAGCCCCTGGGAGTTCCCCAGAAGGAGCTGGAGTACGTCGCCAGGGAAAGGGAGGTCTGGAACGCCTGACTCAATGTGCTGCCGCCACGAGCCTCACCGGAACAAGTGGAGTGAGAAACGAACAAACGAACGAGTGAGCAACGCACAGGCAGCTTTGCGTATGCAGAGGGAGACTCGTCGTGAAACAGGAACATTTACACGCGGTCATTTGATTCGCACGTCACCAATGTTAAGGAACGTAATAATAATCGACAGCCCTTTGTCAATCCACTGCTGCATGAAGACCGCCCCACACTTGGGTATGGTCACCGTATCGCCCTGGAGATGGGGCGTCGTACTCTGCTGGGCCACGTGTGCGCACGGGCCGGGGATCGGAGGCTCGAATTCGTGAAGGCATTGGACATCCCCGGAGCGCGTTCACCTCCTGATGCAACGCTCGCCGGCCTTGTTGGCACTGATTCGAACGCTGTGAGGTTGTCAGATTACAGTCGGACTGGGTGTGGTGTCAGGGTGTGAGGTTGTCAGATGATAGTCGGACTGGGTGTGGTATTTGTTGTGAGGTTGTGAGATCACAGTCGGACCTGGTGTGGTGTCGGGGTGTGAGGTTGTCAGATCACAGTCGGACGGGATGTGGTATCACCCCCAATTTGTAATTTTAAAAAATCGATGTTTAACATCGTGGTGAATGTAGCGGCCATTAGTGGCTAGAAGGTTCACGCGATGCCGTTAAAGTACGTGGTAATAATAAATAATGTATATCCCATTTGCCAATCCATTGCCGAATGAAGGCATGAAGGCATCCTCCCTCCATGTCAGCGATCGGGGGCTTGTTTGACCACACTTCACCACGCTGGTTAGTGCGGGTTTGTGAAGGGGCCGTCCACGTACAATATATTTGAATCAAAATCTCACTTTGTGATTTGACGCTCGCGTGGATGTTCATCGACGAATAGATGCATCGTCACACCTCTACAGGGCCAGCGTCTGGGCTCAAGAGGGCACTACGGGTGGCACAGTGGTAACGCCTGTGCTTAACAGCAACAGGGACCTGGGTTTGATTCTCGACTCGGGCACCTTTCTGCGTGGAGTTTGTAGGTTCTCTCTCCCCCTGTTCTGCGCGGGTTTGCTCCGAGTTCTCCAAGTCACTCCCCATAGCCAAACAAACAAACCGTACAATGTCACCGGTGGTGTGTGGCACATCCCAATGGGGAAAACGTTACACTGCGAATTACTCCGTTGGCGTTGGCACAACAAAAAAACTCGGCAGGACCCTCCCAAAGAGCATGTTAGGACTCGGTGAGACTTATTTGGCATGTTCCTAAACAACCACGTCTGTTCAAAAGAGCTTCTTAGCTTGTCGGATTCCTTCTGGATACATAAAGCTGCCGATTCAACGGGAGGGGCGTGCGCGCAGCTCCCTGAAATCCTGTGGAATTAAAAATAATTTTCTTAATTGAAAACTCTTTTATTTTTTACTGCTTTGTGTGTTAAGTGTGTTGTCCTCCCCCCGCCGCACCTCCGATTAGCACGGTTGGCTACATTCGATGCGAAAGACGTTCAACATCCATACATACATATCTATTAAATAGGTAGCCAGTGACCTGAAGTCACACTGCTAATTTTAAAAACTCATTAATTTCCTGAAAACATCTTGATAGATCTTGGACTGCAGATCTCGGGCAATTGTTGGCAGCGCTGGTTCACTGGCCTGGCTGCTGCCTTCCAGCTTGTGGCTGTGGTTCCCCGGCGATTGCGAGAGATGCACTTTGCATGGACGATGACGACACAATTATATGCATATTAAGGCATTAAAAAGCCATCAAGAATGTTCCATATCGGAATTTACGGTCCATATTTCTAATGTTAATATTTATATAACACAAGTACTAATACTGAATTTCCGTTAACAAATTGTAGCCTGAATAGGCGTTCGCTAACAGCACATGCCTCAACAGTTAGTGCAGGCTATACGGGTGATCTTTGTCTTTGGATGGGAGTGTGTGATTGTTCGCGTGCTTACTTTTAAGGTGATACGGGAATCTTTGTGTACTTCTGACTGTCATGTTTGTGTTTGTGTGTGGCTGTAAGTGTATGTAAGTGTAGTGGACTTCACAGAGGCACACACTAGAACTTGGAAGCAACACGTTTACTATAACACCCCAACAGGGTAACTGCATAAATGTACACTTGGTTAACTAGACCACAACGGGGTAACTACATAACCGGGTCAGTCTGTGACACACTGCCTGACCCACGAAGCCGAGCGTAAAGACCGAGGAGCGAGGATCGAAGAGACGTAGCACCGACGGGTTCCATTCCAACAGACAGCCGCGATTGCTCTCGGGACCTCCGCTTTATGCTCCCGAGCGTGGCCTCACCAGAAGGTTCTCGACCGAGCGCCACGTGTCCCTCAAGCCACCCTTTGGGCCCCCTCGTTACCCTGTCGCGGTCACGTGCCCTCTCGGGTTCACCCAGACTGCCACGTCCTCACCTGCCCTCTCTCTCTGACCGTCACCAGAACCATGCCCCCAAGGGCCCCGCTTCCATGCCATGCCCACTGTGGTGCCAGAGAGAGCCTCAAGACGCACCGTTCTACTCTTGTGAATGTAGCTGGTGCTAAACACCA